CTATTGATTTTGATATTATAAAACACCTACAGAACAAGGGTAATGTGGTGAAAATATATTTCTAAAGGATCGATACCATGTTACTCTGAATATTTTGTATAACCATGCAGTGACCATTCTTAAAGACTTCTGTATATGAGCCAGTTTACAGTTGTTGACACTTTTTTTGCTTTACAGAAGCATGGATGGGAGCCAGTTAAAGTTAAACCGACTGGTTTGGTTCCTTTTGTGGCCCTTTTTGGACATAGATGAGCTGAGTGGTTGTCTAGAGTGCCACCAGGTGGAGGGGCGCCAAAGAGGAGGAAGAAATATTTCATTTAAAAACTGTCACACAAATATATGCATAAATATAAAGCAGGGGTCAGACTGGCTTGGGGTCACTGTTGGTACTGTAATCTCATTGTAGGGCCACTTTAACGTTCAAGTACTAAAAGAAAGCACAGTGTTTCTATTACTAACACCATATTTAATGAAAAATGCAAACAGCAGTTTCTATCAATTTTCATTCATTTCAGACAATAAACGAAAGCCTGAAACCTGCTCTCTTCCCATCAGCGCATTTGTGGGTACCTTTGCCATTATTTTGCGCCAAACAAAATACAATTTTAAAAACAGAAGTGGGTTTTATTATTTTATTTTTTATTTGTATATGAAGTGGTAGTTTAAATTGATATGAAACAACTAGAAAAAAAATAACTAAAAATAATCATCTTGCAGGTCGGATTATGTATGTCACATTGTGTCGCGGGCCAGAAATGGACCCTGGGCCACCAGTATGAGGTCCCTGAATTAAACTCATCAGACAGCCTACTGCTGCTTTTTGTTGCATTTTGGCTTCCATAGATAATGACTCCAAATTACTACCATGCATGAGAATGTGCTGCATGAGGGATGTGTTTGGTTAAACTTTTGGTGAATTGAATTTTTGAATTAGAAATTCCAGAATCTATGAATAGTTTTCCTGCTGGACACAAGATGTCTCCTACTTCACTATTTCACTTCAAGTCCATTCTCAGTGGATGTGCACTCGGGGCTTCAAGTTTCTACATCACACTGTACAAGTTGCAAACTGGACCAAGGTAAAGGAGGTTAGCAGTGTGTCAAAGTATCTGATCAGGTGATTAAAATCATCTGTTATCAGCTTTATCTTCTCACTCGAATTGCAATATTGTGGGTAAATGCTAACACCAGCATGCTAATACTAACATGCTAATGTTTAACACGTTTTAGTTTAGTGCGTTAGCAGCATGCTAGAAAATGATGGAATATCTTGTTAATGGTACTGTATAGTGAGTATCACCAAACAGTTCATCCTAAGGGGATGTATCAAAATACTAACTAACTAGCAAACTAGCCAGCTAACTACCTAGCTAAGGATTAGCTAGCGAGTCAGCAAGTGTTTTGCTAACATTAGCCAACTTGATGTGACTGTATATATTCTTTCTTAAAAATGTGGTTGTCTTTTCAACATAGAGAAGCACATAGCATATGTCAGTACAGGAAAGGAGAAAGTTGTCAGAGGACCATTGGACCACAGAGCAAAAAGGGGCGGGACTTAAGATGGGAGAGCTGTACAGCTTCATACATAACATGAAAAGTAAAAGAAGGCCGAAGCAACAAAGACACAATGAAACATACAGTGAAGCCATTTCAGGCAGGCTATATGTTTATAGTGCTCAGTAGAAACAGCAATAAATAGGTCATTATACATTAAACAACTCGAGCTCAATTACAGAAGGAATTTTGTCACTTCACAGTGTGAGCTTATGCAACACGCTCAAACTATTATCAAACAATTACCCACAAAATCTTGGGGAAAAAACGCAGAATTATTGCTGGAAACAAACATTTTGCAGGTTTTTCTTCTTTTTTGTCGTCGCTCACTTGCACCTTCATGACAGGTTCATAGCAGTTGGACATTGTGGCCTTGATGGTAAAACGTTGTGTTTGTGTTTTTGGACATCTCACGAAAAAGATCACGATTGCACTCTGTGCTGATGTCAAAGATTCCAACTGCGTACATTTTTGACTTCAGTTTTAGGTTAAACGGCACCTGGTACAACACAGCCATCTTATTGGAGGAGGTTTTTGTCGTATTATTGACGAGATCGTAAGTCAAGATGCCAACAGATCCTTGCGCTGTGTTCGGGGTCTTGGCGAACAACGCCTCCCCAGTTGAGTTTGGTTGAATGCTAGGGGGCAAAGGCAC